CATGCTAGCAAAAGCCACCTGAAAAAGAAAATTGCCTGGCAAGGGGAATAAATTGAAGATTTTGTGATCCTCGTACCGGTCTCATGTAAACATGTTGACAATTTCAATTTTCACTCCGGTTTGACTTCGTCCCGGTCTCATGTAAACGGGGCCTAATACAGCGACAACATTACTACATATATCGGCGACGAATTTGCTTTTAAAAATAACCAGGGCCGCCGAGAGGTTGGCGGAGACCCGGGGCAAAATATTTTTTTAGGGGCCCTAATCTAAAAAAATTTTCCCGAGAACAACCTCCACCCCCCCCCCCGTCGCCAAAATATTTTCGGTCAGTGTACCATTTTATGGGTAAAAAATTTTTTCCGGAGTACAAAATTTTTTCGGACGAGTACGTTGCAATTGCTTTCGAGGGACTTTATCTCATTTTTTTATGCCAAAATTCGGTACTTAGCCCAAGAAAACAGATATATAGATATCTTGTCCTTTGCGCGGAAATATTTAACACACAAAAAAGGCTGGGGCCCAACAAAAGATTTTCAGGGCCCCCCAGCAACTCGAGGCCCGGGGCAATTTCCCTCCCCCCTGCCCCCCCTCTCGGCGGCCCTGAAAATAACTAAAAAAGTTAATAAACACTTTTTTACAAACATGTGTACATAAATAAACTCAATTCCACGTATGTTTAAAGGAAATTTGACCTAATTTTAACGAAAAAAATAATATTACTAACTTCTAGGCTGTTGCAAACAAATAAATTTCGCGCAGACAAGTTTTCCCGCGCTTTTATAATTTTAACAAACTGGTAGAAAAACTGTATTAATGTCCCAAATTCTTTTCATTATTCTGCCATATCGTTTGTCGTATGTTTGGAATTGACAAAACATCTGAAGACTGGTTGAAAAACCATGAAAAAAGCCACAATTCGCAACTGTCCAATAGGTTCCTGTCCAATATCGTAAAATATTGGATCGGCACGTGACCCTCTCAACGATTACTGATTGGTTAAGTGCGCGTGAGTGTATAATAAATACAAACTATTTATTTAACAAATACTTAACACTTGCTGAATTGTGATTGGAAGTTTGGGCATATGTGACGTATATTTCCGTGCCTATTTTCTCCAATGGAAGGATATTATTGGGCAAGATTGCCAAGAAAGGTATTTCTGTTTACGCGCACGCGCACACGTTGTCCACAATAAATTTTGCCAGGATTCTAGAATTGTTTATGGCTACTTATAATGCAGCGGATTAAACAATGAATAAATAAAAGTCTACTTCGACACATGACCCGTATACAAGAAACTGTCAAAGTAATTATATATAGTTTAAAGTGACGCAACGAAATTTAAAGCCTTTTTTATGACTGGATCGAAGGTAACGAAGAATCAAACCGATACTTTGCCAAACTCTCTTACAGCTTGCTTCGTTCTTGAAATATTTGACAATTTTTGATATTTAAATTATACTCACTATGACGTGGCATAGTTGTATGGGAAGGAAGGCAGCTGCCCCTCACGCCTCGTACGCTTATGATCATGACTTTCTGAAAAAAAACTTCATGCAAGATCTTGGGATGTCGTGCTTCGAAATAAAAACGTGCGCACGGTTGGGGCCCGGGACAAATCTTTTCTGGGGACCCCATGACATCATTATTAGAGAGTTTGAGCAAGACAACGAAGTCGGACGACGACGATGTGGTTGACAATTTTTGCCTGTCTTTCACATTACCTTGCACATTCTGAGTTTAAAGTCAGGAGTGAAGACAGATTAGAGATTCGGTTCCTAGCTGTTTGTAAATGCTGACCTAAATCCTTACCCTGATCAGGATAAAACAGCGAGACATGAATCCATATCGCGTCTTCGTTCTTCTGCCTTCGTTCACAACAAATATTTTGGCAAAATTCGTTGTGAACTTCGTTCTGCACGAAGGCAGAAGGACAAAGACGGGATATAATTTCATGTCTCGCTGTTTTTTTCTGGATCAGGGCAAGAATTATGGTCAGTATTCATGAACAGCGACACATGGGAAGACACGTTGAGAAACCACCAGTGACGTCCAACTCGGTATGCGCAAGATAATGTGCAGAAGGCAAAAATTGTCAAGTATGCCTTCGTCTTCGTACTTCGTTGTCATGCTGAAACTCTCTATTATTTAAGCTAGACCCAAGTCAGTCACTCAGTTAGACCCTAACTAGCTAGACTGCATGTGGAGCTACTTAAGGGGCCCTCAATTTCAAAAATGCTCCGACCAATTTAAAGAACCTACTGAATTTTAGGCTCTTGCTCTCAAGTTGGGTTGAAGGTGGGAGCCCGGGGCAATTTGCCCTGCCTCCCCCTCTCGGCGGCCCTGTATATGTCAACATACCACATATATGTTGTAAGTCGTCAAATGTAAAGAGTTCTAAACGTTTGTTTCACAAAGCATTATGCAAGTATATGTGATTTATATTGTCAACAATGAAGGAGAGACAAATTTTGTCAGTTTTAATGTGATTTAGTTTTAATGTGATTTCAGTAAAATATTATTATTGCGTGCAAAATTGCATATAACTAAGTAATCATAATGGCTAATGAGGTTACATAAATATTGAACTCAAGATAACATTAACAATATAAACATTATCCTGACTGAAGTTAGTGAAATTATGTCAATTATAACAGATGAATTAAGGTAAATATAATTTACATAATGATTGACACTATAGTAACACTAAAGCCACTACTAGGAACACTGATCTAATAGTAGTGACTAGGAGTCGATTACTAGTATGACTATTATTATTTGAATTACTCGACCCCCCCTCCCCCCCCCAACCCACACGACCCTTGTTTACTCCACTGATCTAAAATCTGGATAGAGTCAGTATGCTTTTGAATTCACTGAGTCAATTTTGAAGACAGAATATTTTCAATTAATGAGGAAACATTTTTAAATGTGGAATAACCACTAAAAATCGAATCGTTACGTGTTCAAATTGGTTTTAATATAAGAAACAAATACCGTGTGTAATATGACTTATAGACATATAGCTTGCTATATACCTTTTATAAAGAGTTTTAGAAAGTTTTAAGCACTATACTGTCCTTTTGCATGACACCAATAACTAGAAAATGTTGGGACCGCCCTTCTAACATGTCAACACCACCACAGGCGCAGTAGATTTGTGGTGGTCACAACAATATGGCCGCCATTGGTTTTATTTATGCTCAGCAGATGCACTATCAGCTCTAGTTTTATATCAGTGTTTTTACCGTCCGAAAAAACTTCTCAGATTAGTTTATGCGCACACAAACCACATATTGTATCTTATACGAAGTACTCCTTAAGGTCAGGTCGTTTTTTCCAATCACATGACCTGACAATTCTGTGAACCTCGACAGGAAGGTTGGGGAAGAGGTTAAGGAAGTACTCCTGGGGATCGCCCACTACATAGAATGCTTCGGGTTGAGGCAGTTGACGTGGTCGGTCATGCCAGTGTTGGTTGACATTTCGGATAAGTCGTAAACACTCCGTCCACGACGACTTATAAAAAAATGTTTTTGGTTTTCCGTTCATGAAATCAGTACATAAATACTTCAGAACATCAGGTCTCATCCGACTTTTCCAATCTGTTAGGTCGTTATTCAACTCTCGTACGACATCTGAGTTGTTGTCGCCTGCCTTAATCTCTTGTTGGTTTCCCATTTTGCAAAGCATTTCAAACTTTTGTTCCGTGGACTGAAGGTAAGGGTGTTTCAGCGCCTCTTCAGCCAATGGTCTATCTTCTGGGTTGTGGCTCAGCATCCAGGATAACAAATCTTTCAAGACAGGATCTTTCAGCGTATCCAAGCCAACTGGTTTACCATCAAGTAAGTTGCCAAGTCGGTATCGTCCTTCTCCAAAGGGATGTTTACCTTTTGTGACAATATAGAATGCCACCATTCCGGCTACCTAAATGTGACAAAAGCAAACTGTAACTATTATTCATGTTCCCTGAAAATTGTCACCGCACAGCATAAAACAGCCCCAAATTTATGTTCCTGAAAAATTGATCCGACACCTTGCTGACAGAGTTTTAAAAAATGTTACTGATGTCAGTATTTTCAAAGACTGTGAAAATTACGTTTTTCAATTATATAACTTGGTTTTTCTAAACTTTGTTGAGGAAAATGTATTGTTTATTTCAGCTTTAGAAAGATTAAAATAATTTTGGTTAAATATCAGCTTTACTAGGGAATTTGTTTATTTGGTTGCGATGTTAGTGTTAGTGCACTCTTAGTCGAATTCAATATGGCGGATTTATAAGTACTCTCATTGCTAAAAATGGAAACATAATAGACAACTTGCATGTTAGACTAATTTTTGAATTAGGCAAAAAAAAAAGTAAATTCCCGTGAAGAACTTACTAAATTTACTAAAATTGCAAAATTTGGTTACGAAATGTTGAAAAGTACGGAAAATATAGCCTTGCGAAGTTTGCATATTTTGTATATGTTTGTATTACGTGCGGAAATTGTTACCATTTTTGAGCCGAAAATGGTAACAATTTCCGCACGTAATAGAAACATATACAAAATTTCAAAACTTTGCATGGCTTTATTTTCCAGGCTTTACAACATTTTGCAATTTTGCTAATTTCATTATGTTCTTTTTTAGCAGTGGTGTTTGATTTCCTTCTCTTTACGTAGATTAAAATTTAATCTAACATGCAAGTTGTCCAGTCGTGCTTAAGTACGCAGTCTACATTCATTAATTTTCTATGAGTAAGCCCCCTAGTACTCGTCGGAGTTCTGTCACTTTCTTTGGAAAGCAACGAAAAATCTATACTTATTATTTACTCTAACTCGTGTTTAACACAAACGAAATCCTACCTGAATATCGGATTCTTTCTTATAACGTACTTCGCTATTGTCAGTCATGCAATTCGAATGATATGAAGATTCAATGGCTCTCCAATCATCCGTTCCCCTTTGCTCACTTGGATGGGTAGTGGCACCTGTCGTTAAGATTCGACTGATTCCAAAATCGGCCAGCAACCAATTACCGTCGATGTCTCGCAAGATATTGGATGGTTTCAAATCACGATGCAAAACGGGCTTTGGATGGCCATGGAGATCAGCCAA